AATTAAAAATACCTGCAGTTCAACATCCGTTAACTCGATAACGTTATCCGCTCACCAACGTTAACGTTTTATTTGCACGGTTATTAACGGGTCAGGATTAAGGTTGATGTGTGAGTTCAGCATGCAAAGAGTGAGAACGGGTGTCGTTAGCTCTCAAGTAGACTCGAGTGCATGTCCAACACCAGACTACCAACGGACAAGCTGGAATCTTCCCGGACTCTTTTTTGATCAACGATATGACGTTGTCGGCAAAGCATCATTTGATACGCGCTTCATTCCTTACCAGCGCTTGCCAACAGACGCTCGATAATATACCAAATGATGAGTTAACCGCAGTGAGTATGTGAATGTAACCACGTTTAGAGCAAACCCTAATATCAAGTACAGAGTCCGCAATACCTGTCGTGGCCTACCTCAACGGCAAAATATGATACCCATATAAAAAGAACTAAGATACCGGGAAAGCACTCCCACTCATGAGATGCTTGAGATGCAACACTTTGGTCTCCACACTTTTCCTGGCAAGTTCAATTAAGTGCATGCACATAAGGATGGATTGCACCCTTGAACGACCAATGTCTGGTCGTGCACCACACCTGATCGCTTCATTGAAAAACTCTTGTGAACCTGTCATACCAGCTAATGTGCACTTCTAAATTACGGTTCATATGGCATAACAAAGCATGTCTTATTTTTTGGTTGGTACTGTGTCCCATTCCATCGTGCAAGGCATGCTCGAATGTACTCATCGCGTTGCCTAAATGAGTCAATGGATCATTGAAATTCGTATTAGATATATAGCTCCTCAAAAGTGCCTTTCCAAAGTCTTCAGCTCTCCGATTATACTTCATGATCACCCGTCGAATTAAACCTGCATGACTGTCTACCGACCATTTATTACATACCTTTATCAAGTAAACTCAACATTATTTCATTTGGCTCAACAGCAGAGTAAGCCGGGGTTTCTAGACAACCGAGTCTGTAAAACCGTACAGAGGATCAAAGAAGATGCTTAACACAATCGCCTACGCAGGTAGCTACATTAAGCCTTGTGTCGTATTGGTTTAGTTCCCCCTCAGCAAGTGGTTAGAAGGCAGCATCAGACATAGTGTTAAGTGAATGTCCGAGTTCTCAGAAAAGCTAACCACAACCTCAAATCCTCATGTAAGCCAATTTCGCATGTACTAGAGTATTCGACCCGCCTGATTTTTCGGAAAATAGTGAACGTGGCACATGAACCCCTTCACAACCAGTGATCGCACTAAGTCGAGAGTCTTTATTCCACTGTATTTATGCCCCTGTAGATTATGTAGCATGAATTTGGGGAACCTGACCCTTGCATTCAGGCACACACGCATTTGGGGATGACTTTCGAGGTTTTACAATATATGAGAAGCCCACAACGGCAGGCCAGTAGCGTCAACCGAGAAAAGCTATTATGAAAAGCAAATAGCAGCTACTTTAGCAGCGCATTCATGAGACTAAGGCAAAGCATGAAGCAGAAGCATCGAACAACGAAGGAAGCGGTTAGAGAAAAGTGACATTTACTGTGCAAAATTTGTTATTTTGGTCAAACCGTCCGGCAAAAGAACATGAGCAGAGAGAGACAGAATGGGCATAGGGAGTTTGATGCGGGATGTTATTCCCGGCAAGTGAAAGGATGAAGGGGGCGAGTTGGGCGGCGTCCAAACGCAGCCACAACAAACAGTTTGTTGCTGGGGAAAAAGCGTGATGATAGATTATTGTAATGGTATATGATCAACAAGTTATCGGAGGAGAAAGAAATGAAAACAAAAAAATGGAGGAGCGAAAACCAAAATAATGTGTACAACACGACGACAGACATTCATCCTGTCGAATGACACACGATGAGGTACTTCACAGGTATCGAAAATGAGTAACATAACCAGATCACATTTCCCCCACGTTGCTGGGCTAGTATGGGGGTGGCGAGGTCAGGAAAAGTGGCTGATAAGACTCGGTAGGAAAAAACAACAAGAACACGTGGAGAAAAATTAGGTGTAGACAGAAATCAGAGAGGCAAAGGCGCCATAATGGTAGGGAGCGGGAGAGTGAAGAATGGGACATTTAATGAGAAAATGGTTCATTTATCGATGTCCAAAACCTCGAGTGATGAGAAACATGGGGAGAATGTGGCAAAGCATTGAAAGACAGGTGTTCCTCACCCTCATAAAACATGGTGATTGCGTGTAGGGGGTAACCGAGGGTTGGATCCCAATGGATTGGGGATCTAAGAAAGATCGACCCCCAATTTGAGATAGAGGAATTGCAAGACCTAAAATTACGTGTCACACAATCCCGCCATAACGAAATAAGCTCAGGCCAACTTCTCCAATTCATAAAAGAGTGAACTAAAAGAATGAATTCAGCATCCACCTGGCGGATTGAGTGGGTAGGTGTTTAGGCAGGTGAGGTGATGGGAGTGAGTTGTAAATGCGTCAAAATGTCATGCAGTTGAATGAAGCGAAGAACGTCGAAGATATTGAAGGATGCATCTACGATACGAATACAGCCGGTCTAACGAGGTCCACTGATGAATGAATTCAGCATCCACCTGACGGATGGATTGGGTAGGTGTTTAGGCAGGTGAGGTGATGGGAGTGAGTTGTAAATGCGTCAAAATGTCATGCAGTTGAATGAAGCGAAGAACGTCGAAGATATTGAAGGATTCTAAGCATCTACGAATACAGCCGGTCTAACGAGGTCCACTGATGTTAGAGGGCTGCCGTAACTTGGAGGCAATATTGGGTTTTGTGTCTGGCAACGGGGGTCGTGGACGGGAATTGTTATCGAACCTGGATGGTGGTTTGGAAATAGAATCGGACGTTGGAATTCCTGTGGTGGTTGTTGGCCGACTGGGTGTCGCGGTCATCGAGTTAGTGGGAGCACCAGGTTCAGTGGTTGTCGCCTTTTTCGAGATGGATTCACTGAGTGGGGCACTGCGCCGGAAATTTGACAGAGCCGTTTTCAGACGACCCCTTACTTGGGACGCGGTTGCTGATGCTGACTGTGGTGCTTGTGATGTTTGGGTTGGGCGTTTTCCGGTAGATTTCGTTGGATCTGTGGTACGAGGTTCCGAAGAGGCACTGGTGCTAACACCAGATTCGTCGCCAGTCTGGCGCGAGGAACGACTTGTAGTATTCTTAAGTGGAATGGGACGTTGTCCAGGAAGATGATGCTGCGGGTAATGATGAACCGTAGCGGTTGTACCTCCAGAGGGTAACGGTGGCGACAGTCTGTTCCGAGCGGGCACAGAAGGCGCCGTCGGGGTAGCCTTTCGAGTCACGACAACTGCGGGAGGAATATTCGCTCGTGCAGCAACCTGAAGAGAATAATAAACGAGAGATTACGGCTAAATAGAAAGGATTCAATCACACAGCCTTGATACGGTGTAATGAGTAACCTCAATTCGGATGCGACGACAGTTTCAAACCTGGACATGAGACCACAAGCTATATCAAGCGTCCTAGTCGTGCCATTGAGCCATGATGCTCCGAGAGATACCACGATAGTCAAACGGTCCAGTGAGGTTACAACAAACTACTGGGAGCAGCATGCAAATATAAGGACAGGCAACCTGTACAGTCCACAAAAATGTCTTATCGGTTGGAAACTTAGAAACGCACCGGGACCTAAATACGGTGAATAGTCAACCCCAAATCTCTGTACTTTGCGATTAGTTATTCTACATGAGTGAATGAACTGTGCAAAACACAAAGAGAACCGGACAACTGGTAACCGAGATAAACGTCGGACTGACTCGTGCCAGCTTTGTGCGTCTAACAATAGCTGATAGTTTACATTATCCATGTAGGAGGGGAAAGATAAACAGATTCACAGTTGGCACTTTGGCAGGGTAACGAGTGTGGAAGACGAGGGTTCTGATTTAATGCAGATAAGTTTAAATCCAACGATTCGCAAGATACAGCTTTAGGTAATGGTCTGAACAAAAAGATTCACGAAAGAGAGGAGAGCCCAAGTGGAGGTAGAATGGGCCCGAAACTTGAACCCGATGTTTGTCTACAGTGTAGGAGTAAGTTGCAACAATCAATTGTCCCATCTGGTCATACTTACAGGCCCCAACTAAGCAATATAAAATCGACTGTAATATGGAGATGCGATGTTCACTAGCACCCTGCTAGTACAAAAGTGTCCGGAAAAGGGGTGTTCAGATTAACCGAACACCGGATCCGTTGAACGGATGTCTACGAAATGGAAGGCACGTTCAGATTGATCAGAATATCGAGAAAAGTCGGTGCTCATCGAAACGTTCCAAAGACTTTAGAATTCTTTTGTAGAAAATATAGTGTTTTGTATAAAAATCGGTTGTGAAGTTCACGTTTCTCATCACCGCATGCGCTTCAAAGTTAATTGGCTCTAGGAAGCCCGGGAACAGTAATGAAGTTGGAGAACCGTGATAGGCAACCCATAAAAACATACCTTGGGTGGAAGCCCCGGTTGCTGAGTTGAATTCAACACCAAAGGACTGCTTGTCGTAGCAGTAGCAGCACCAGTTGATTGGGAACCCAAGTTTCGATTAGCACCGGTCGATGGGTCTGTGAAGAGCGGTTTGCGTACTTCCACTGCCAAGTCCAAATTGAACGGATAGGCTAGAAGCTGCTCGAGATGAGTTAGTAGGTCGGCATGTAGCCCACGCTGAGTTGCCCGACACTGGCGAACAAATGCATCCTCGCAGTAGAATCGACTTAGCAAGGATTCGTTCGCAACGACCGCATTAAGCCACATTGGAAGAGCTTTGGCGCTATTATAACCGAGGCAGAAAATTTGGAGTTGAAGGCTAGCTAATAAGCTCAGCAAAGCCTTGTAGACAAAAAGGTTGTACAACTTCAAGGATGAATGTTGATAAATTCTAGAAAACTCAACAAGCGGAGGAGTGGCGGGGGGAAGAGAAAGCGCACTACATACTTGGGCAAGAGGCACACATAACAGACTTCAGCAAACTGACCAATGAACATCCAATGGAAGAGCACTTCACAAAACCATGTGAAATCCTTGTTTTCCATACAACCGTTTTCAAAGCCCTTCTAGCGCGCAAGGACGAATTACCTCTAAGCTAGGCAGTGACAGCTCATCATTTATCATGAGAAATTCCTTCACCAGTGCACGAAAACTGATATTTTGTACTCCCCTAGAGAAAGGGTGTCTTCAGGGGAGGTCGTGCCGTGAGCCGATGCTGATGGAAAACGCCACCATGGGCTTTTCAGGAAAGTGGTTCTTTTGCGTGAAGAAGTAGTTATATATACCAGCCATTTCTGCGAGTTGGTCTTCGATACCAAAGCAAACACTTCTTAAAATCGACATGCTTAATGAAGGTTCGCATTCTGATTTTGCTGCTGAATGAATCTCCCTGGGAAACATATCTCTGGAAGATGGACAGTCCCTATGAGAGGTCAAAATGAGCGGAATTTGAGTCACCATCCATATGTTTGTCACAGGCATTTGAGGAGGAGAAGGAAACTGATGATTTCGACAAACACTCACTTGCACAAAAATTTGGTTGTAACAAGAGACTCAGCTTAATTCACTTGAATCTCTCGTTCAAGTAGAGCATTCGGTTGACGGGAACTAGGAGACTGCGCCTACCTGATGAGCCCAAACCGGGCTGTCATGGGGTTTTAATCAACATTATGAGTAGTATGTTACGTCTGAAACTAATTGTTGTTTGTCATTTTGTGAATGCAGCTAGATGAAGAATAAAACTGTCCCTCCCAGTTCAAGCCTACGACAATCCGTTCTCAAAATCGATGTGACTCGGTGATTAAGGAGCGAAATGGAATTTCCGTGGTTCGAACCTAACATCGCCTTCTCGATTGCTTCTGTACAGGTTTCAATAATCTGGTAATATTTCAGCTCCCGTAATCGCTTCGAGTTGCACGACAAGTACGTACCAGATTATATCAGTCAATCTTCCTTCATGAACACCAATGTGTATACGTATTTCTAGGATCGTATAAGGACTAATATCGACAAAGTTACCATGGGTCCTCCGCTTGGTCCGTTACTAGGATCCTTTAAAGCGATCAACTGCATTAGGGCATTGTGGGACGACAATCTGTGGACGACATTTTAATGCTCATATCAAGTCATTTCGAAAGTGCTATCCTCTTTCACAAACTCAATCAAGTTCATGCTGACACTCAGCTTGCTTCTCAAAGTTCCAGACCTAATCACACTAAATGGCTTCAGAAGACTGTCCGGTTGAATGAAACGATATTGCTCGCAAATAGTTCCCCATGCATGCCCCCCCCCCCCCGTTTCCATTCACGTACCCGACACCAGCTATCCTTTTCGACCATGACTTTTGCTTTACCATTGGATATGTATTACCTGATGTTGAGATCCCGGAAACATCCGTTTCGTCATTTTTAGGTTCTTGATAATGATATGGGATTGTTCGGCCAACTTGGATTGCTTACATTTCCGAAAACAAAACTAAGACTCAACTGCAGACAGCAAGCAACGGGGCAAATACAGTACTCTAGGATAGAGATTGGGTGGCAAATGCGTGGAAATCGTCCAGTCTTACTTACTTTAAGCAAGCACAGATAAACGCTTTGAATTTGACCTTTTCCAGTGTGATGCTCGTAAGTGCCTTAACTTGCGAGACTGCATCACTTAGCACGCGGTAAGCTACGCCGGAGAGAAGGGGACCTAGGTGTGGAGAATAAAGAAGGAGATTGAGTGAGACCGTGAAGAAAGGCTGTTCAAGGTGGATTTGGACTATATCCACCGGAAAACAGGTGAACAGTTACAAATCAAGGATGCACAACGAAGGCGTCTTATTCGGACACAGCTTACAGATTAATCAAGGAAACCGAAAGGAACATTCTTCTTGGGCCAAAGTGAGTGGAACACGGAACCAAGGGTAGCAATTAAGATTACCAATGGAGTTCAGTCAGGTGAGAAACACTTGGAACCGACTGAGTAGTCATCGTTTTCGAAAAATTTTGGTTACAGTCGGTATTGGTCTTTTGCCTGACGACGGTACCGTGGGCATGACCTCCAACAGTCCAAGATACATTAGCAATCGTCAACTAATAAGGCATCGGGTTCGTCGATCGTCAAATTGACCTCATGTCTGTCCACGCTTTACCAACGCTTAAAATAATATGGAATGTCCATCTGAACACATTTTACGGCCAACCATCCAGCTTTTTCTATCGCCAGATCGGTCAAAATCAAACTATCCGGCTTTGACACTATTTCCGTGAGTGTTTGCCAGGCAGCCTAAAGGAGGCGGAGTAGGTTGCCACCGTGCGGCCAATTTCGTAAACGAGTAAGCAAAAAGTTGGAAATGAGTTCGAACCACGAACCCTCCTGTCAGCTGCACTGCTCCTTCCCTAACGGGTTACCTGACACCCTGCCGAAGCAAACGTCAGTTATTGCGCCTCCGTTCTAAACTACGGGATATATACGGTAGGATAAAAGGTAATCAGACAAGCAACAGGGAGAGCGATTCAGATGCATACCAGCTGAGTCAGCAACAGAAGACTGAAGACTATTCAGTTAAAACATCTATCTTCAGTGAGATAGCAGGATGCAAAACGACCGCTGTAGTTTTCAATCAATTGCTGTAGTTCACCAAATCACTATGATGGTCTAACCATGAGCGGCAAGATGAATTATGAGTGAGATCAGTGAGAAACACGACATAAGGAAAGTTCAGTCAATGTGGCGCGGTGCTTCCAGCAGCTTGACCTATCAGCTCCAGTCGCCTAGCGGCGATGACGGCTAGGACAGTAGTGGTGGTGGTGGTGGTGGTCAGCCGCGGTGCTTCCAGCAGCTTGACCTATCAGGTCCAGTCGCGTAGCGGCGATGACCGCTAGGACAGTAGTGGTGGTGGTGGTGGTCAGGGAACTACCACATGCGTTGGAACAAACGACAATCACAAGCGTGTATGACTGCCGCGCGTCTGTCGGTAGGAACACAAAGGTAACAGAACCGTACACTGAGGTACCTTTAAAAGTGCCTGTCCAACACACACAAACAAGCAAAGCGGGCGACGCACCAACAACACCAATACAAAGTCAGTAAGCAAATAAGTACAACGAAACAGGAAATCGAATCAATTAGGTGGGACGCGAAATTCGCGATGAATCACTCTACCCACCACCGCCCGTCTGTCTGCCAAGATGTACACCGGATCAGTTGGTCAATCGAGCGTAGAAAAATGACAATTGGTCATCGCTTTGCACAACAAAACAGCAGGTTTTAGAGAGGGACAACAAATTGAGTGTGGCTGGAGAACTTACCTGGTCGGCAGCTTTCTTCCACCATTTGCCATAGACGGGTACGTGGTTTGGTGATAAATATCGGTTTGGTAGGTGGAAGCAGTCCATCCGATAGCAGTACTGTGAGGGGGCCGACAACAGCCAAAAGCGGTTGGCGGCCAGCACTACCGAGAGCGGCAATCGCCGAGTATGGAAGAGGATCAGCAGTGGTGCAGCCATTACCGGCTGGATCAGGGTTACTAGTGGTGGCAGTGGAATAATAGGCAACTGTTTCCTGAACAGCTTTGATGACATCATTGACCATGGCTGGAAAAGGTCAAGGGGGAGAGTGAAACCCGTGAGTCATACAAAGAAAGAGTCGAACAACAATTAGCAGCTGAAAATTACGGGAACAATGGCCCTCAAAAGAGAACCTCACTTCTAAAAAGAGGCCGATTTCAGCACAGACTACTCTATAGTGGCACCCACTGGATGGCCTGATCTTCAATCATTGCCCGACGAGCTGGAAATATACTTTATGGTTTTCGGGCTTCACAATATCAGTCTATAAGACGAGAATCATGTTATTTGGTTAGTTATAGGTATCTGCGGATAAAACAGCACCTTGTGTGAAATTTTTAGTTCAGTGCCTCAGCTTGATTCGCGTAAAGTCCCAACTGCTCTGGCACCAAATTTTGTGTTCTATAGAAGAGCGGGTTTATTTTTCGGATATGATGTCCGCAAAGGAGGACAAACCGTCTTTAGTTCCCCCGACTTACCTACGAAGACGCAAAAAATGAGACGGAAGTCTGATGCATGACATTTAAAACCAACGCTTGCTCACTGATTATTGTGGCCCCACTATAACTTCAAAAATTCGAAAACTACGCTCATGTATGAGTAAGAATAGCCAAGTTAGTCACTAAGACTATATATACGGTTTGTTACACAGAATGGTAGCATGTATTCGTCAATCCAGCTGTCTGCAAAAAGTGTGCATTAGGCCGAGTAGAATTCAGCACTGCACTGATCGAGATGTATGGTCCTAAACCTTGCGGAACAAGCTGCACCAACAAGCCCACTCCCAATTCCAGCACATGTAAGTACCCAGCTGTCTGGGACAATGGTTTTTCTACCCGCCACATGGGGTTCGTCTTGAGGAATTTGGCACAAAGACACTACTTTCCGAGCTTGTTCTATTAGTCCGGTACGAAGGGAACTTGTACAATATGGCTAACACGGAATGGGAATCCACGCTTTTGGTTCCTAGGACTGTGGAAGAAATGGTGTTTAGTTTTGAGACATATAGGTTGTGGTTAGTTGATAGTGCTACTACCGTAGACAGTTTCATCACATATAATGTCGCATTTCAAAAACTAAGACACTTACGCACATATGGATTGTCAATCCGTACAAAATATAGTCACCATACTGGTTGAGACAAAGGTGACAATTCGCTAAACTTTATAGGTTACGGAGTAGTAAATAAACGCAGACAACACACTGGTCACCACAAACCGACGCTATACTGTCGATGATAACAGTAGATCAAGCGACACTCATGCAAGCAAAGTGAAAAAATGTCATTCCTACATCACGCAACGTTGCACTTACTGAGTAAAAATCCCGCACAATTGGAATATGATTTCCTGTACTGTAAATTCTATCCATACTTCTACTGGATTAAATGGAGATTCTGTTGTGACTACCCAGCTTCAAGATTCCGATTAGTAATATCTTGGCCACTCGACGGGTAGCAAGAAGACCGACGACCTCGATAAAATAGTAAAAGTGCCCATGTGGTTAGATGCTATTCACTCATCATAGTTCATCTTGGATTTGTCGAAAATATATGGAGGTTTAGATTAGCAGTCGGTCAGTATCGTGGTCGTTTTGAGCTATCTTCTATCAGAACAAAATGTGCAATTCAAGCCTGCTTGGGACACTTGGGGTCAATTGTAAACGTCAACAATCATCTGAAATGCACATGAACCGTTCCCCAAACCTCGAGATTGTGCACCATAAAATTGTATTTTTGCTATGATACAGCCGGGAAGAAGACGGAAATATTGGTGTTTTTCCTGTTTGGTCCAATTACCACGGATAGCCCTCAAGAGTGAAAAGCATACGTGAATTCAGGAACCGATGACACTTTGTGATGCGTAAAGCAGTTGAGTAGCTGCACATAGATACCACGAATACTTACCATGATAACGAACATCAACGTCCGATTGTCGAGGGAGTTCGCCCGGTTGGTTTGTGTCCCGTCCAGGGCTGTTGCGTGGATTGAACTCAGCCAACGGAGTCTCTTGTCCGTACAGGCCCCAATTACGTGGGATGACTGTGCAAAATAAAGGAAAGAAACTTCTAGTATTGTTTACGAAGAAGGAACCCGTTCGATCATAGAATTGAGTCCTGCGTAAATTAAGAAGTTGGACAAACTGTACCGCATTCCATTCGAAACGAGGAAGTTTGAGTAAACATGTTGAAAGGACAGTGCTGCATTGGTAGGCGATTATGCTTCATTAATATAGATCGTGAACACCATTCAATTTCACAACACCAGTGAGTAGATGTCGCATAAGAGATTAAAAACGGTTCACGAAGGGTATCCACGGGCCTGGCGCAGTCACGCCCACTTAGGTTTGCCGAACGTCACTAAACTTGTGAAATCACCAATGCACCGTGAATATCAGAGGATAGCTGCAGGACCTATACGACTAGCGTGGAAAGGAGCGGTGATAGATGAGGTCTCTCAGCTTCCACCCAGAAAGATGTAGTTATGATTTCATAGTTTCCCATCCTATTTTCTGGCCCAGACATCGCTAACATGTGCGGAAGAAGGTTGAGTAGCAGGTGCGGCGAGAACATACTGAAAAACGCTCCAAAATCGAACAAGTTGTGCAGGCAAACAACTGTGGTTCTCGCATAGACGCGGTCGACTTACGAGTTGAGTGCAGGGAAATAGAAACCCGTGTCCTGTGCCGTACACATACACGTTAATTCCGCGAGACTATCAACCGACGTTGGAAATCTACATAGGCGGTTTCAAGGGGTGACCTCTTAGGCGATGCGCTGCTGGTTTACCTTGTTACCTACTTCTATGGCTTACGCTATCGCACGCGGTTATAAACACGGTCTTCTCGCAGACTTCCGGTCAGTCAACAGAGCCGCTTAGAACCTACAACAAGCATACAGCCATCATCATAGTACTCCTCCCTACGACCAAACACCTCGTTCGGAGGACCATTCTGACGGCATTGGACTTGCCTGAAATCCAATTTCTGCTCGGTAGAAAAACCTTTCACAAGCGAATGGAAGGCGTATTTGAATTCCCTGAATTGCTGACTTATCCCCCAGATGAAACGCCACGACGTCAATAAGCTATGCCGCTTATCAATATTTACTGGCGGTTGTCACGTTGAAGGAATGCTATCATGAGCATCGCTGAAGCAATTTTACGGTACGTCAGAATGATATTTTTGATTGATCTGGACTGGCGACAGACGACAATATACCGTAGAATACGTAACAGAACCATCTTAAAAACAGATCACTAATGCTATACGGAATATCCGTGGTGAAGCTGGGATCAACCTCCCAATCGTTCGTTTGTGGTTCTCTTCGTAGATCTCATCCATATTTGGCTGTGGCATCAAAAAGGACATGAGCACAAAGAGCTGAATGACAAGGAATAATGCGCGTCTCTGCTCAGGATGAGCCCCACACACCTCAAAGGTGTTCAGAAAATACCCGGGTACGATACATTTTTGGCACCTTCCGAAGACGTTTCCTGTGGAGTTCGATGTGAGTAAACGGTAGAAACAACTCTAAATAGTCCATCGAGAACACAATCGCTCCCACGAATTATCAAGGGGTATCAGGAAACAACTGAACGACAGTGATCGCGCGTTAGTGAATGTGCCAGGACAATTATGCAGCAGTCACGTGAGTATCGTTCTGGAGCGACATGATACAAAAAATTAATGAAAACAGACACGATTAATATTGAAGACAAGATCTCCTTGAATGCTAACGATGGTGCCCTCTGATGACGTTTACTAAAATCACCGGAACCTGCAGAAACATGAATGAGTACACACAATGCAGACCGAAACAGCACCTTGACATGCCTAAGTTGTTGTGAGCAGGAGAAATCGATAAACCATTGCGGCAGCTGAGCATGACCCAAATGCTAAAAGCATTCGAGCAAACAGGTTGAGGTTGCAGCTAAATAGAATTTCTGTAGCGTTCCGAACCACACTATAGGGCATGAGAAGCGCAACCTTAATCGGAAGTTTCAAAAAATACATCTAGAACACCTAGAGATAAAGAGATATAAGGCCATAGACAATAGGCATTGTAATCAGAATGATCAGTTGGCGAACATGGTCTCTACTTGAGAACTAGCTGATAATGACTTCCTGTACCATAGGATCACAGCGATGTCACACCAATCTAGACGAGATGGCTCAGCGGTTAGTGCGCGGATTTACTAACCGGAAGGTCCGTGGTTCGAATCCGACCTCTACCTCTCGACATCTCCCGTCTAGGCTTGGGCAACCAGGCGGTATCCCAGCCCTCGTGCTTCCTTCGGGTAGCATGGCAGTTGGGCACCGAAAGGGTGTTACAGCTGAACGATTATCTAATCTAGGCAAAATACAAATGGAAGCTTACAAAACAGTACATCCACTAAGGTAATGTTTGTGAGAGGTCAACTTTCGATACACGTTTCAGATGGAACAGAATTTCCTTGGTTCATGTTTGTGCGACATTGCGAAGAAGGAGGATATAGCTAGGGGTAACATTGATGGAACCCACAATGAGTTGTGCGGACTGACTGAGCACACACGCAGGTGAACCAGTACAAATCAAGTAGTTTTTTACAACTGGGACCTTTCAATATGTACCTCTGTATCTCAGCATTTAGCGGGCATAGCATTCACATCTTTTCCAGGAACAATTGCTAGAGTGTATGTCCAAGTCAATCAAGATTGTGGCAGTGGGTTACCAACGCGTTTTCATCAGCCCTGGAAGAAGTGTCGTATAAAGGGAAGTTGTGGCGCCTCTTTAAAGATGTGACCGCAGACAAACATTGTAACCAACGTTATGTGCCGATTCCCACAAGAGTACGAAAGCTTATGGTTTTTGTCCATGAGACGAATAATTCCACAACGAACGCATCTTCCTATCAAGAGACACTGAGTTTTTTTTTCACAGAACGTTCCCACCACATGAACAGAATGACGATTGTAAGGTCGAGTTGGGTTGTGTTGATTTCAGCCCTGAATCGAAGATAGAATGAGTCTTCAATATGGACGATGGGTTCCGGTGTTGTATCTTTCGTTCCCTAGTAAGGAACGATCCACAAACAAAGTAGTGACACCTTTCTACTCCCAAATATTATCAAGTCGCTCACATTTTGGTGTTATTTGGCAGATGTGGCACCACTGAACAAGAATGTACCAGCAAGACAGTCACGTGATCGCTATTAGTTCATTAA